GCCTGAATTACTCTGAGGTGAACAGTCAGGGGTCCGGAGGTTGGGTGGTCACCCATGAACGGGCACAGGAGAGGACTGAGGGCTGGAAATGAGGTGCCTGCTGATGGCCAGGCCCATTAAGAGTGTGGGGAGTCAGTCTGGCTAGATACGGCCCTCATCCTGTGGACAGCCCCTTCTAAGGAGCTGCACCCTTCTAAGGGGGTGAGGTTGGAAAGTGACCACTCCACAGCATCTTCCTCTTCACGGCAAATGAACATTCGCACACGCTCCAAGATTGGGCAACCATAAGTCTAGGAGCGAGTGGAAGCCAGGTGTTCAGCAAGACACTTTGGAGGCAGCAGCTGGAGGGAGACTCCACTACAGGTCATCCCATGGCCCATAGCTTGTCCTCGTCCTTATTATCCGTCTGCAGCATGACCTCAATATATGGTTACAAGGCGTGGACTCACATGCATTTACTTTCTGAATAACCTAGAATTAAAACCAAAACCATGTTTCCCTTCAGACCTGGAAGTGCCTATCAATCAAAGCCCAGGAGACACTCCTGCCATAGGGCCACTCTCTGTCCCCTCTGCTCGGCCTCACCCACCAGGATTGGCTCCCGATTGGGTTCCCCCACCTGCTGCCCGAGTCCTCTATGAACCAAGAAGGCAGGAGATGACCTGAGGAGGGGGCTCAACACACCAGAGGCCCAGAAATGCACCTGGGTGGGTCTTCCTGTCTCCAGATAATATCTGCCCAAAGACACCTGAGAGCAGCATGCATCCAAACACAATGTGGAGCTCACACTGGAACATCCCAGGGCTGGACAGGGATGAAGGGGGCAGAGATGGCCCTGCTGGACACCCAGCAGCTGGGGCTTTCCAGAGTCTCACTGCTCAGTGTTGCTGGGGTTGTGACTTGTGCCTCCAGGAACCTTTTCCCACCTCCCTTGTTTGATCCTTCCAGGTCTCAAAACTGAATGCACACAGCATCAGTCACACTCAGTGACACACCAGCTCAGGGATCACAGTGTGCGCAGGCCCACTCTGCCCAAGGCTCCCATGGGCTGACTGGATTAGCCCCTTGCCTGCCCTTTCCCTCCTGTCCTGGCCCCCAAGCGTGGAGGAGCTCTTGGAAAGTGACCAGTTGGCAATGAGACACTGTGTGACCCACACACTGTCTCAAGGGCAACATTCTGCCCACTGTCACACCCGCCATCCTCAAACATCCTGTGGTGTGTCGGATGGGGCTGGCCACCTGTGGGTGACTGTCAGGGTCAGCTGAACCCGGTGGGTGGGTGGGTGAGTGAACTCCACCCTCTGCCCTCTTGATTCCTGCAAGCACCTGCAGGCAGAGCCATCTAACCTCATGCCCGGGCCCTTCTGGACCTCTGCCCTAACCTGCTTTGCCTGCCTGGTCTTGCACACGTTGGTCATCCGTCTGGATGCCTTGAGGCCCCTGTCCCCTGCTGCCAGGATCCTGGGGTGGTGTCTACTGTGTCACACACTGGCTCCCTTCTACGCCTAACCCACTTCTTCCTGGGGGCTTCGTTTGTGCCCTGGGAAGCCAGGCGGCCACTGCTCCCCAAACCCACCAGCATCCTGTCACCTGGCTCCCGCCCACCCAGAGCATCCCACAGCCCCCCACTGAGGGTCCCTTCCCTGCCCATTCCCCAATGTTAACCCGGCCATTATCGCCCCTCCCATCCCAGCAGAGGAGGGACTCAGGGGGAACATCCATGAAATTTATTGCATCAAACATTTGCTGAAACCATGGAAGAGAAGGGGATGACATCACAGACAGGAACTACCCACGACCACCTGAGACCACAGGTCCCGGGCTCCTGACGAGGTTCCTCATTTGTCCCCCACCCCGGGGCCCTCCTGCCATGTTCTCCTTTCCTGAGGACCCAGATCTGCCTCTTGCCAGGACCGTGGCCTCCAGCAATGCCCAGTCACTTTAGGGAAGAGCCCTTCCCAGGGACAAACCGCTGTGAGTTGGTCCTGCCCTATGGATGCACAGGACAGTCACAGGACACTGGAAAGAACAGCAGGGAACACCCCACCAAGCTGAAGAAACTGAGTCACAGGTAACAACAGGAATGGAAGGTCAAAACACTCCCCCACCCCGATCCAGTTCTTCCTGGCCGAGGTCAAAGTCACAGTCACAGAGTGAGCATCAGGCACTCCCTCGCCGTCCACCCTTTCTCTGGGCTCCTGGTGCCTCTGGGGAAGGACTGCTTAGAGAAGAACACACACATGTCCACGAGAACAAGCAGCAGGCAGCTGGCCTTGATCTACACCGAGAAAGCAGAGGTTGAGCTCATGACCCTGGACAGGAGTGAGCAGAGCCCTGGCTGGCATGGAAGCTCAGAGCAGCTGGACCCTTTAGACAGCTTCTTTGGCCATATCATTTTCAGAGGCCCTCGGTGGGTCTTCCAGGTCTGCAGCCTGAGTCTGCAGGGTTCGAGCTGACCTTGGCCTTAGTAGCTGCTGAATTGCAGTTCACCAAGCCAGGCCGAGGTTCTCCCAGCTCACTCTCTCCAGTTCTCCAGCCACCCTACAAAAACAAAACAGAACAAAACCACCCCCACCAAGGCCTCCCTCCTCCTCCTGCTCCTCTTCCACCTGTTCCTTTTGAACAAACTGCTCTATACACCTACTCATTCCCAAGCTAGCTTGGAGGAGACTGGCCCAGCAGGAACTCCATGCCCCTGCCTGGGGTCTCCTCAGTCTTTTTGCCCACATAGCCCTGTAAGGCGGCAGTGGTAGAAACTGCCTCTGGGATGGCTCTGGGCTCCCAGGGCCTTTGGATACAGGGATTTAGCCTTTACTCACAAAGGGGGTCATGGGTGCTGCATTCCTGGGGCTCTCCTAGAGCTGTATAGATGATTCTGAGGATGGGTGGAACCCTGCGGGCTCCCCTCCAGAGCATTTGCTGTCTGTCTTGCAGCATTGGCTCCCAGGCCCTGGCTTCTGGCTGGGGCAGCCCTGAGGCAGGCTCCTCCTTTATCCATGTGGCCCCAGGGCCTGTGGTCATCCTTCCATCAGAGTTCCCAGCGCCCCCTCCTTCTGGCTCTACTTCACTGGAGTGCCCTCTTGAGTCTCGGACATCCTGTGGGCTGGGTGAACCAGCTTCCTGCTTTATTTTCTGGCATTTCCTGTGGTCCCTGTGTCTGGCCGTCATGGAGCTAGCTGGAATTTGGTCTTGGTTAGTGGATTCCTTCCCAACTGGTGGAGGGTTGGAGTGCCTTTCCTGGGCCTGGATGCCCTGCTCTTCTTCCTCACTCAGGGTCCCTGCTATTTGTCTGGGCTGCCCCTTCCCTGTCTCAAGACATGTCTCTTGCCTGCCAAGGGAAGGAGTATCAGTATCTCTGGAGCCTCTGGTTCCTAGGGCTTGGGTTGGCTCATGGCCCCAGCCCCCGACTCGTTTCCCAAATCTTCCACTTTAGCCTGTGCTTTCTGCTCGGCCAGCTGGTTTTCAGCCTTGGGACACACTGTCTGGCTATGCTCTTCTCCCTTTATGTTATAGTTACACAGAATTCGCCTGCGCTTCAGTGATGGGGGAAGCCCTTCCTGCATGGTCTGGGTGCTGCTCTCACTAAAAGACCCCACCTGCACAATAACCTGAGTTTCCAGGAGATTGCTTTCTTCTGCCTGTCGCCCAGAGCCCCTTTGACCCTTTCCCACTTGCTTTTGTTTCTCCTTTATCACCATCATGGTGGTCTCCCACTCCTCTTCATCTCGAATGAGCTTCATTAACTCCAGAAAAGTGGGTGCATACCCTTGCTGATCTAAGAGCTGAAGCTTGCCCCGGAGGGCAGGGGTCATGGAGACCCGAGCTAGGATATGTTTAAGGCGAATTAAGTCTGCACTTCGTGCTGACAATGGGCTTTGCTGAATGGCTTTCTGTAGCAAGGGCTCTACGCGCAGCAAGAAAGCAGAGGCCTTCTCTGCAGCCTTCTGAGTAGTCTGAAGAAATTTGAACTGAGAGGTTTTATAGTCCTCTTTAGTTCCAAAGATCTGTTTCAGGGCATCCAGGCACTGCTCCACAGTCATGGAGTCATTATTGGCCTGGAGCACCCTCATGATTGCTAGTGCCGGGCCATGTAAGCTCTCTAGAAGGCGCCGCCTCTTTTCTACCTCTGACACCTGCCACATCTGCATCATTTCAGTGACCTGCTCCACCCAGGCTTCAAAGGTCTCTTCACCTGGGCCTGGGCTAGGACTTCCCGAAAACACTTTCAGTTTTCGGTACCACATGCTTTCACACAGAGGTGGAAAAGCTAGTGGTTTGACTTCATCCAAGCTCTCTGGCTCCGTGCCTTCCGTGGGGAGGGTGCTATACCCCAGAGTTTTGATTACATCAACCATTCTCCGGCCCTCATCTTTCAGGAAACAGGTCAGCTTATTGATAAACTCATCATCTGGGTTACGGGGTTTTACCACCACTTCCCAGGTGCCCCCATTTCCTGCTATCTGACTGGGTATCATTGCATAATCGACAGTGTCAGCCAGTTCAATGAAGACTGCCTTAGCATTGTCTTCCTTCCTGAACATTCTGCCTCGCACCCTGTAAGCACACAGAGGGTGTAAACCTGCCTTCACAGTTTTCTTAATTTCTGCTTCACTACAGTCCACAGGGATGCCCACAATCAGCAGGGCCTTCCTGGGGTCCAGGTCCATCCCCTTGCACCAATCTTCTAACAGTGTCACAGCCATTTCTCCCACTCTCTATGGCCTGATCTAATATTAAAGAAGTGATAGGCTCAGGGTTTTAACAGGACTCCAATAATTTTAAGGCAATGCCAAGTAGGAAGGCAGAAGTGTCTCAGGTTTCCACAGCCTGTAATGCAAATGGGGTAAGAGCATCGTTAATGCTTTCCCCGCCCCCACCAAGAGCCCCTTGTCTGTCCACACCTCCCCTCAGAGATGTAGTCCCTGCTCCCCAGGCTTCCTGCAATCCTCTTACAGAGGGTCTTCCCAGGCAAAGCTCCCCCAACCTCACCCCACTCTCCTGACCTCCTTCTCCTGTGGGGTCTTCCTAGGAAGTGCAGGTGCTCTGCTGCATGTGCCTGTAGTAGAAAAGCCAATGTCAGGAGGTAGGACACTGAAAAAGCCCTCCTGGCAGCAGAGAGCAGGATCTCCCACTCCCTGTTTGGGGCTGTTCGGGTCCAGGTCACCCAACAACCTCTTCACTGATGGTTAGTCTGGCAGCAGATGTGGAGCTCCCCTCTGAGGAAATGAGTGACAGATGAGAAAGATGGCCGGAGTTCTGAGCAATGTGGTGAGAGTCGTGGGTGTGTAGTGTTGCTATGGATACCCAGAACAGCATGGACCTTGAGTTTCTATCATAGGGTGTGTCATGGTAAGGTTAGGGTCCATGAGGAGCAACAGGTGATGTTACTGGCTGCTAACCAATGAAGCATCCTAGCAACAAGGGGGATGGGAGCGGGACAGGGAGGTGGGGTGAGCAGCGGTGGAGAAGTGGGTGCTGAGAAAACAAGAGCTTATGGTTTCAAACTGTGCAAGCTGGAATGAGAGACAGAAAAGGAACCCAGAAGGGTCTCTACTGCCACCTTGCTGGAAATGGACATCTCACGCTCTAGGTGTGGCCCTGCCCTGCAGTCTGAACCCTGGCACGCAGCCCCTTCCCCTCCTAACATAGCCCCCCTCACCAGCTGCTCACACTGCGGCGTGGGGCCCCACTAGAGGGCAGATGCTGTGACAGTACTGGCCCTAGATGCTCAGTCTGCTCTCCAGTTCTAACTAGTCAAGCAGTTTCTGGCCAGGCTGCAGGCAGGGTCCTTGGCCACTGGACCTTTCCAAGGCAAGGCAGAGCTATTTTTACCATGGTTCTTTCCAGCATGTGCCCCCTGCACAGGCTGTGCTAATTCGGAGTCTGCACAAGTGTTCACAAGACCCCTCCCAGTGATAGGAGTAATTACTCAGCTGGGCACCAGCCCTGAGGCAGAGGGACCCTAGGGTCCCGCTGCTCCCCAATCTCACTTCAAATCCCACCCCCACAAGCTGCACCCCTGCAGCCAGGTCTCACCTCCATCTATGCTCCTATGTCCAAGCTCCCCAACCCCACTTCATTGTCTAAAAACTGTTAGAAACTGCACTGGTGGTTCCAGCTACTTGGGAGGCTGAGGCAGGAGGATTGCTTAAGCCCAGGAGTTCTAGGACAGCCCGGACAACTTATGGGGGCCAGTCTCATGAAAAAGTTAATTAACATGCCCCATACTAGTTTACATCTATTTCTCATCCACATACCCCACATTTCCAAGCAGCGATATATCTGGTCAGTGGGACTAGGCAAAGGATAGGGGGCTGAGCCCCGCCCCCCACTACCCCCCGCCCCGCCCCCCCATTCCCCCACCCTCCGGGTCTTCCCCCAACCCTCGGCCCCTGGCAAAAAAAAAAAAAAAAAAGAAAACCCTTACAGGTGGGTCTCGATGCCTAGAAATGGCAGCGAGCCCGTGGGATATGGGGTCTGATCTAGCGGGATCCCACTTCCAGAGGAAACCCATGGCCACCAGCTCTTGGGATGCCGTGGAGAAGAGCGAAGGGGCACTAGGGTCTTGAGAACTCATGATCTGGGTTACCATCTGGGCCAGGAGCTCAGCACCGTACCTGCTGGAGGTGCCTCCGGGACAGAACTCCTACAGACGCGGCGTCCTTGCGTGTGCCGCCGCTTCTGCAGCCTTGCAAAAAGGGCCAGACTGAGGTTGCAACAATTTATATAAGTGGACAACCTCCCCGCCCTCCGACCACAGAGCTGCACACGACCCACTTGCGTCTGCGCTCTGGAGCGGTCGTCTCCCCCTCCCCCCACACCCCCGAAAGTGGGATCCTCACCCTACCCTGTACCCCCTGGGACAGCACAGGGAATTTGAATCTGCTGGGAAACCATTTATATGGCAGAGTAGGTCTGAGTTTAGCTGTTTATTGTCTCAACAGCCACGCCAGACCCACCACGTGTCATGCTGGGCCCAGGAGTCATTGCGGCTTGGGTTCCACATGTCTCTTTTTCATTGGCTTGACAATCGTTTTCATTTCCATATTCAAATTGTCAGCACAGGGCTGGGAGCAAAATATAGGACCGAGCGCAAAGTGCAGTGCAGAGCGCAAAATTCAGGGCCGAGCGCAAAGTTGTGGGCAGGTGAAAAGTACAGGTCTAGTGGGAGCTTCCTAACTCAAAGTTATGGCCCCTCCTTTCTTTCTTTTTTCTTCCTTCCTTCCTTTCTTTCTCTTTCTTTCCTTTCTTCCCTCCCTCCTTCCTTCTCTCTCTCTCTCTCTCTCTCTCTCTCTCTCTTTCCTTCCTTCCTTTCTCTCTCTTTCTTGTTTCTTTTTTTTTTTTTGTGGTACTGGAGTTTGAACTCAGGGCTTACACCTTACACCTTGAGCCGCTCCACCAGCCCTTTTGTTTGTGATTGGGTTCTCGGGAACTATTTTGCCCAGGCTGGCTTTGAATACCAATCCTTCTGATCTCTGCCTCCTGAGTAGCTAGGATTACAGGCATGAGGTTTTTTTTTTTTTTTTTTTTTTTAAATATTCTTAAGCTTTTACTAATTAAATTTGACATATCATACATAATTTTAATAATATATGGCTTCTTCCCATTATCTTTTTTTTCATTTTTCTTTTATTATTCATATGTGCATACAAGGCTTGGTTCATTACTCCCCCCTGCCCCCCCCCTTACCACCCACGGGCCCCCCCCCCCCCCCCGCTCAATACCCAGCAGAAACTATTTTGCCCTTATTTCTAATCTTGTTGTAGAGCGAGTATAAGCAATAATAGGAAGGAACAAGGGTTTTTGCTGGTTGAGATAAGGATAGCTATACAGGGCATTGACTCACATTGATTTCCTGTGCGTGGGTGTTACCTTCTAGGTTAATTCTTTTTGATCTCACCTTTTCTCTAGTACCTGTTCCCCTTTTCCTATTGGCCTCAGTTGCTTTTAAGGTATCTGCTTTAGTTTCTCTGCGTTAAGGGCAACAAATGCTAGCTAGTTTTTTAGGTGTCTTACCTATCCTCACCCCTCCCTTGTGTGCTCTCGCTTTTATCATGTGCTCATAGTCCAATCCCCTTGTTGTGTTTGCCCTTGATCTAATGTCCACATATGAGGGAGAACATACGATTTTTGGTCTTTTGGGCCAGGCTAACCTCACTCAGAATGATGTTCTCCAATTCCATCCATTTACCAGCGAATGATAACATTTCGTTCTTCTTCATGGCTGCATAAAATTCCATTGTGTATAGATACCACATTTTCTTAATCCATTCGTCAGTGCTGGGGCATCTTGGCTGTTTCCATAACTTGCCTATTGTGAATAGTGCTGCAATAAACAGGCATGAGGTTTTTATTAGGCAGAGTTCTTGGGGCAGAGGGCTGGTGACAGCTGCTTCCTGCATTTCACAGGCACACGAAATTTTTCAGGGCTCACTGACAGACAGCTATCAAGAAATCCTATTTTCCTGTATTCTATTTCCTGCAAAAGTGTTAACAACCTAGTAACCAAAATGCTTCCTGCCCTTTCCCAAAGCAGGTTTCTTCCACAGAGGAAAGACTTCCATGTTTACCGAGTGGCCCCAAATGGCTATTCTGGAAAAGGCTATGGGTGAGACACATGTAACACACACCATAAAGAGTCTGAAATCAATCTCCTGGCGAGGAGAAAATGGTCACATAATCCCTCCAGAGTCACAAATTCCATGTGGGAAATTACCTAGGGACTCTCAGAGCACCAACCCACCACACCTCTTTGAAGCCACCACACAGCCATCTGTGTCACAGTATCACAGCAGCGAATGCCATGCCAAGAGCTGACTGTCTTCTATTTCTCAGCTCCTACTTTAAAACAACAACAATGTTGTTAAGTGTTCCAGTAACAGCGTTCTGCAAATAAACTTCTTTCCTCATAGGAGATTCAGCAGATGCCTCCTTATTTACCCACATTCCTGTTCTTTGTCTCCCAAATGATTATCTGAACTGTGTGTTCCCACTGAGCAACGGGAACAAAATACTTGCTAGACAATGTTTTCTTCTTTTTCCAGACCCCTGAACTTTGGCGTATCCTTGCCCTAAGCCAGCAGAGAGCCTTAACTGCCCCTTCTAAGAAGAGGCTGCCCCCGGTAAAACATTCCCTAATCAGGCTTATTTACTCCTTTGCTTCTTGCCTAATCCCAGGAAGCTTGTGGATCTCACAATCCAAGTGTCCCCCCTTTTGAACATTCCTCCCTTCCCTCTTGCAAGAAGCCTTTCAAGTAAAGTCTCCTCTTCAAGTCATGATTTGGTCCCTTTCCCAAGCTTTATAGAGGTATGGTCGAAAAATAATATATTTATTGTGTACAAAGTTTTGATGTATATAAACATTGTGAAATGGTTGCTGTTATTCAGGCTAATTAATATATCTGTCAATTCACATGACCTTTGTTTTTTGGTGGCAAAACGCTCAAGATCTGCATTCTTAGCAAACTTCAAGGTATACAATACATTATTATAACTATAGTTGAGGCAGGATAAATCATGGAAACTCGTGCTTTGGAAACAGCAGTGAGGAATTTACAAATAAGCATTGTACTAGGGGACAGCTCGATTAAAAACACACAGGCACTGCTTTCTCTGCTTTAAGCTTTACACTCCCTCAACAAGCTGCAACATTTACTGAAAAAGAAAAAAGAAAAAAAGGGGGAAAGAGCAGCTCTCTCTGACT